TGTTCATGTACGCTAGAGCCTCCGCGTATTCATCAGCTTTTCTGTTGGGTATTTTACACCAATTTGGCAAGAAAGTATTAAAACCTTTAACTAAGTTAGGATGCTCTTTCAATAGATCTTGAATCCTAGCAAGAAGGCAATTGATACAAATTCTGCCAATGTATCAATGAGTTAGTAAATTATAAAATTAAAATGAATCAAAACATTAGGAAAAAAAATGAGGTTTAACATAACAGTCTTTAATTAGGAAAGATACTCCACCTTTGAGCTAGATTCCCCTCAATAGGGCATAGAACATATCATGCTTTTCTCTTTGATCATAGAACGTTTCCTTTAATTCCTTTGCATACTTGTAGGCATCCTCCCTCGTAGGCTTTGTTGGTGCACCACCCCAACGACCACCTCCACCGCCACCCACACAGCTTCCACAACTACTACTGCCGCCGTCTCCTCCTCCGGTTACCCTACGAGTTTGTGGTTGCCCATGGCTTTAAATGAGAATAAAAAAAGGGAACAAAAAAATTTCCATGTATTAATTGATTCAAAGACTTCAGATTTTCGTTCCAAAACTCATTAGTCCAATACCGAATTGGAGAAGCTATACATTTGATGCTTTGATAACCGGAAACTATATTCGTGTGATAGAGAGGATTCAATCCGCAATTAATAAAATTATTTACTTAAACACGAAATTAGTTAAAGAAATACACACATCTACAAGCGGGAGAAAAATGTGTAAGAAAAGCGGTATAATGATAATGCGCGGAAAAAGTAACCCCAATAAATGAATCTGATATTCTATTCAATTTGGTCATCCCCTTAATTACGTAGATAACCAAATAAGACAAAAAAAGTTAAAAAGAAAACTAATCAAATTGGGAGTAAAAGAAGTGCAGCTACGAAATCTAGATCTGAGAAGTTAAAAAAAAAAAAGAAGCAAATTTCTAATGGCTTTCAATTCTAGTGAATTATGTTATCAGGATCAAACTTAACACGAAGGATGAAATCCAGTGTTAAAAAAAAAAAAAACAAAAAACAAACAAACAAACATCACTGAACCCCAAACAAAAACACAAAAACACACCACCACAAAATTCAGAGCAAAAATAAAATTTAAATCTTTTTAATCTTTTAATCTTTTTTCACTGTCTTCAATCTATTATTATTATTATTATTATTATTATTATTATTACAAAAGCAACTCATTCTTTTTTTGGATAAAATGTGAATTTCATTCATCATGAAGAAAGATGTATATACAAGTATTAGCTTCTAAACTGTATGCCTAAAGTTTCCAAAAACCGGACATCATCACCACTACCATTTCTATACAAATGCAATAGCCTTACACGTATTTCGTTCTGAATTTTACAACTTCTTTGAGCTACAGTTTCTGATGATGATCTAAAGATCCTGGCATTTCTTTCTGTCCAAATATGATGAACTGCTGCATTTAGACAAGCAAACAGCAGCTTCCTTCTCAGTGTTTTGGTCTTCCATATGTTCAAAAGTTGGCCAATATTCAGACTGATTATGCGCCTTCTGATACCCAGCCAATCTGCTATAGACTTGATCAACTCAGTACTATATTCATAGTGAAAGAAGAGGTGCTGGATGGATTCTGGTTTCTTGTTGAATAAGATACACTGTGGATCATTCACTTGTACTCCCATCTTCACTAGTCTATCTCTTGTTAACAGCCTTCCCTTCCAGGCCAGCCAGCTCACAAAGCTGTGTTTTGGCACTGAAAACTTACTCCAAGTTATCAATCCTGCCTTGAACTTTTCTTGCCTTCCTCTCAGCCACTGATATCCACTTCTAGATGTATAACCTTTGCCTTTGTTTGCCATCCATTGATCTTGTTGAACAGCATTTTGCAGTTGATCCTTCACTCTGATTAGTTTCCTCCAATGCCAGCTACAGTATGCTGGCAGTGAATATTCCCACACTGGTTTGCCTTTGAGGTAGTAAATGTGCATCCATTTGATCCATAACCTCTCTTTGTTTAAGTGCAAGTCCCACAGTTGTTTCCCATGTAGAGCTTTATTCCATGCTCCTGGTTCTTTGATGTTTAAGCCTCCTTCTTCTTTGCTTCTACACATATCATCCCATGCTTTCAGTGATAAACATCTCCCATTCTCCTTACTTCCCCATAGAAATTTCCTTCAACAAGCTGTTACTTGATGAATCACTGATTGGGGAATCAAGAAGATACTGGCTCAGTAAGAGTGAAGTGTCATCAGGACAGAGTTCACAAGTACTGTTTTACCAGCATAAGAAAGATTTCTGGACTCTTTAACTTTTGATTCTCATAGTAACTTTGTCTACAAGATACTGACAATCTCCTTTAGACCAAGAAGTGGGAGCCACAGGCAGACCTAGATACTTCATAGGAAAAGAACCAATCTCAAAGTTCATGATGGTTCTAATTTCTTCTTGTACTGATTCTGAGGATCCACCAAAATACAAGTTAGATTTATTAAGGTTGATACTCAAATCTTTAGTGTTAGCAAAATGATCAAGCATCGCCTTAATCTTCCTTATTATCAACATCAGCTCCACTAAATATCAGCAGATTGTCTGCAAAACTTAGTGAAGTGATTTGCAGTTCCTCACAATGTGGGTGCATAATGAATCCTTCCTTAGCTGCTTCAAGGTTGAATAACCTCCATGATCATTACAAATAGCATGGGAGAGATTGGATCTCCTTGTCTGAGTCCCTTTCCCCTTGAAAATATCCAACACTGTTACCATTCAGACTTAATGAGAACTTACGGGTGGTAATACACTCCATGATCCAGTGGATGAATTTATTTGAAAACTTCAGTCCTTTCAGCATTTCCTCAATAAAAGTCCAATGCACAGAATCAAATGCCTTTTTTAGATCAACCTTCATCATACAGGAAGGTTTAGCAGTTTTCCTCTTGTACATTCTCATCAATTCCCGTGCCAGAAGAACATTATGAAGGATCAATCTATTCTGGACAAAAGCACCTTGATTTAAATTCACAATTTTAGGCAAGATCCTGCTCAGTCTTTTGCATAGCATTTTAGATTTACATTTATAGACTGTATTGCAGTAGGAAATTGGCCTGAATTCAGCTACATTCTTAGGACAGTCATTCTTTGGTATCAGAGCTATAGTAGTTGCATTGAATTGTTTCAATAACTTCCCAGATTTGAAGAACTCTAATACTGCATTACTGAAATCTTCTCCTACTATGCTCCATGCTTTCCTGTAAAAGCCACTGTTATAGCCATCCGAACCTGAGCTTTTACCTTCATCAATACTATAAACTGCCTCCTTAACATCCTCTTTAGTGAAGTCTTCCACCAGTTGCATTTGCTGATCAATGGTCAACTGAGCTCCTCACTAATGGCTGGAATTCTTTCCTGTTCTTCCCCAGCAGATCTTTAAAGTAGTTGATGAAGTGCTCTTCAACTTGTTGTGGATCCTCAATCAATTCTCCTGAATCTGCAACTATGGCCTTGATTCTGCTTCTGACTGTTTTTTGCTTGACAGCAGCATGGAAGTATCTAGTATTAAGATCTCCCTCATTAACCATTTTTCCTTCAACTTTTGTGACCAAAAGCTCATTACTGCTTTGCAAGTATCTGTGTATTCCTGACATGTTTCCTTTTCCTGCTTTTGCAATTCCTCATTCAAGGGGTTCTGTTTCACCGCTTCCTGTATCTGTTCCAGCCTTACTTTGCATATCATCTCCTTCTCCTCAATTCTTGTAAAGTATTTTCTATTGAATTCCCTCATAATTGGCTTCAACAACTTTTGCTTTTTCATCAAGATAAACTGGTCAGTACCTTCAATCTGTTTTTGCCAGCTCTGAATAACAGTCTCTTTAAACTGAGGATATTGAGTCCACATGTTAAAAATTCTAAAAGATCTTTTAATTTGTGAATTAGTATCTCCCCAGCTGTTCAATAACCGGTCCTTTTTAATCATCTGAGCAATAGCCCAGATAAATTTTCTATGTAAATAAATTTAATTTTTTTAATTAGTTAAGGATCTAACTAAAATATTAATAATAGTTTTTATTATAATATATATTTTTTTGTGGCATTTCTCACTTCACAAAGTCCTGTATAGTACTTTTATTTAGGTTGTACATGATATAATAATAAGTCTATTACAGAGGAAATATAATAAATAACCAAAGAAAAATCCCTTCTAGAAGGAACGTTTGGTTTTTTCCGGTGTTGCAAAATATGCGAACGTAAAAAATACATGTAGATACATTCAACGCACTATTTATATGGCTTTTATAATTACATATAATTGTGTGAGTGTTATTATTTTTCTAAATAACAAGAACCTTTTTTTCAAGATATAGTTATGTATTGTGGAGATATATATTGAATGGGAGTAGTGATATCGCCCAAATAACTGTTATTTACTAATTTTGAATTAATTGTGTTTTGTAGGTTGATAGTATCTGCATGCAAGCACATATGCTATGTGATGACTTTTTGAATAACAAAGGAACCCTATTAAGGAAAAATATTTCCCTTTTTCTTTTATAAGAATAACATTTCTTAAAAACTTACTATTGATATGAAATTCCACTCCTTCCGCCAATAAAGTATCAATGCGACTACTTTAAGCACAATTAATCATCGTATTGACATAGTTTCTACATATATATAGTGTTGATCTTGTCCTGAATTGTCAACTATCAATCTAATATAGCACATAGGGCTTAGAATAACGCAATTTTCCAACTCACTTTCACTATATAAGAACTAGGAACTCAAGAACTGAATCAAAAAAATCATCCACACTACAACAATCACCCATTAGGCGAGAAGGGAAAATTCAACTAAGAGGGTAAAAGAAATGCAATAACCTTGTCAATAATATTAAATTAAAAAGTAACATAATGTCAACTTTAAATATTCATTTTACAAAGTTCAACATCTAAAAAACAAGTTCATAACAAACATGGACATAAGGATATAGTATCAATTTCTTATATGATAGCTAATTAATCTTCTTGAATATATTTGGTGAACTCGGCCAGCAAATCTGGGTGGTCCTTGAAAAGTGCCGCAACCTGTGCAATGTAAATGTAAACTATTTATTAATTTTTTGAAGCATGAATATATTCCCAAACCTTAAATATAAACGATATAAATAACAATAAACAAATTTAGGTAAAATGAATACAAACCTCACGGTAGAGCTCATCAATGCTCTTGGCTCCATCCTTGTAGGCATCCAAATGGTCCTCAAAAGAAGTGTAGGTAGGGTGGTTGCTTCCAAAACGCTCCTGCAAAGTGAAAAATTTCCAAACATTCTATTTTCAGAATTAACTATAGACATAAACTTGAAACTTACTTCGAGTTAAACCAAAGTAACTACGTTTTTTGAAACGAGAGAAAAAAGTACTATGTGCACTAATGTGAAAGTAAATATAACCTTTATCTTGTCAACGAAACCTACAGCCTCCTCATATCCCCTTTTGAGCTCATCAGGGGTAACCTCTTCTTCATTATCCTCATATTCCCCTATGAGCTCATCAGGGGTAACCTCTTCTTCATTATCCAACGTGATTTCAAACCCCAGGGGCAAGAATTTATTGAAACCGAGAAGTAAGTTCGGATGCTCTACAAACAGTTTCTTCAACCCGGCAATGACTCCCGGATTATCAACCCTGCAAAATATATCCATGAGATAGAAAATTTAAATAAGATTGAAACATAAAAGTATATACACAAAACGATAAAGCTTGTGTCCAAGAAAGTTGGGGCATATACCTTTTATCTTTGTACTCTCTCATAAGGTCAATGAACGCATCATATTTTTCCTTTTGATCTAAATACGTGTCTCTAACTTTCCTCATATAGCTTATGGCATCTGTTGTGTCATATACGATTGGGGGATTCTCCCTGGTGCTTCAAATGAGAAATTAGGGGGCCAAATTAATAGACATTTTGCTCTAAAACCCATTAGCAAACCTGGAAAACTGTATTATACCCAAGTGGAAAAGCCATTCACTTATTGGTTTTCTAAGTTTACCAAACAAAAACATCGTTCCTAATTCCCCCACAAATGATCTTATGTATCACACAAGATTTGATTCATAGTGTATGCGCAATAAAGAAATTAAGAGTTTGCATATTCGAAAAGGGAAAAATATATATGAAAAAAAAATCTTGCTTACAAAAGTAAATTAATGTTGTCACTAAAGATTGATCCGAAATATATCCATCATAGAAATTCCATAAAAAATAAACCAAAATATGCATAATCAAAAAGGGTAGAAAAATTTGAAAACCTCAAAATAATGATCGCTGCCAAAGTAATTAACCAATAAATGGTGCCATTCAAGATTCGATTCGCAATACATCCACCATAAGGAACACCGCTAAACAATCATTCTGTTAAAGATAAACTTAGATATAATAATTAAAAAGGGAAAATAAGTATGAAAACTTTGGGATAATGATTCATGTTTAAAGTAACTAATGCGTAAAATAAAACTTTAATCAAATAATTGTTTCCCTCGATTACCAAGAGAATAAAAACCACAAACATTTAACCTAATTCGATGGTCAATGTAAAGTAGGACATTAAATCAAAAAAGTTTAAACAAACCTAACCATACTAGTGACAATAAATTCAAGTAAATCAACTAGTCACAAAATCATACATTCATAGAGCATGCTCACCAAAAACAAAAATGTAGGTAAAAAAATTCACTCACTGATCTCATTATCATATGTATCAAAATTAAAACAAAGATACATATCAAAAAATTGATCCTACAGAAAATCACTAAAAAATTCAAATCTTAAAAAAGAAAAAAAAAAGAGTTGAGGACTCACGATTCAGCAGAATGCTGCCTTGACGAATTAAGATTATCAGCAGCATTCTGGGGATGATCCATGTTGATACGAAAGAGGGAAAAAATAGATAAAAATCAATTAAAAAAAAGATAGAGAAGATCTTAAGAAGGCTTTAATTGAAGCAACTGACAAACACAAGAAACTGAAGCGCGGTGACGAAAACGAGAGAGAGGAGCCAACAAAAGATTGTGAGTGAAAAAAGTGTGTGTAGTCACGAGATAAATACAAGAGACTATTTATATAGGTGATGAGGAGGAAGAGAGATTTAGTACGTTACAATTCTCTTCGGTCAAAAAATAATTAACAAATCAGTTCTAGATTGTGTGAATCTGTGAATACTTTTATTTTGATTTTTTTTCTTTTTCTGAAATATTTATGATGATATTTTCAAACCCTCAAAACGGCATCAGGTTAAGTTGTATAATTGTGAAAGCCAAAAGACATTCTAGAGTCAATGTCTCTCGTAAAGTTTTCCCGATGTCACAAAATATGTGAATGGTTGAAATACATGAAATTGTACAACACGTTATTTATATAGTTTTGATAGTTAAATTTAACTACATGAGTGACATTATTTTTCCAAATAACAATAGCCTATTTGTTTAAAAAATAAAAGTTATGTATTGTAGGGATATACATATAATTGGAATGTTGGTTTCGTTCAAGTAACTGTTGTTTGTTAATTTTCAAATAATTATTTTTTGTAAGTTAACTGTATTTGCGAACAATCATATACGGTGTTTGATTACCTTTGTAAAACAAAGGTACCCTATTAAGGAAAAATATTTTACCTTTTTAAGAAGAACAATATTTACTAATTGCTTCCTGTTGAATTAAGACTGCACTCTTTCCATCCCAATAAAGTATCTTTGTGACTACTTTAAGTGCTATTCATTACCGTTGCCATTGCACACTATGCTTATCAAAAATGCAATTTTTCCAGCTCGATCTCACTGTGTAAAAACTAAGAATTCAAAGATGAATCAAAGCATCCATTAACTATCTAACAACTGAGAACTACGGCAAACACACATTCTTTGAGAAAATTAACTTAACTTTATTTGACATTTGTCATCCTATCACAAATATAATTAGTGATAAGGACCAACCCCCTCCTTGAGTATATCCCAAAGACTGATAGCCCCCCCCCCCCCCCCCCAAAGGTGTCGAGATTATGGGTTAGCACAAAAGTCCACTTTGACCGCTTTAAACTTGTAGTGAAAAAGACCAGAGTTGTGAAAAGACAAAAAAAACCCATAGTGGTTCCGGCAAATTTTTGACACAAAATAATTCAAGATAAAATTACTAGTATATTCTTAATTATTAATCTAATTTTTAATTTCTACCCGATTTTTTTTCTCCAATCCCAAAACAATCACCCTAGCACCTCCGCCAACATCAAGAACAACGAGCACCCCTAATCTTCATTGCGGATGCAAACACAGTTGCCAAATACACTAAACCCAAACATTGAAAGAAATGAACAACAAGAACAACAAAATCAATTTTGAAATAAATCATTTGTCACTTTGGATTGCTAAATTACTCAAAACTCAAAATATAAAAGCCCGTTGCTAATTGATCATCCCCAAACATTAAAACTGTAGAAATTGAGACTTGACTTACTCAACAAAAATTTCATTCATGAAAACCCATACCAATCTCTCTACAAGAAGATGAATTTGCTTAGACAATGAAAAATCAACCATAAAACTTACTTGATGGCAGAAAATCCTATTGATTCTAATGCATGACGATTCTAATGCATATTATTCCACGAAGAAACTGTCTTACAAAGATCAACTTTAATCTCATGACAGTTCTTATTTATTTAAAAGAAAAATTTTTAACTAAGACTCTGTCTCAAAAAGATTTTGTCTATAAATCTCATGATAGCTTTATACTCTATTCTATCTAATTCTAATATATGGGAAAGATTTTTTATATAGGAACAAAATACCTCTTAAAGATTGTGCAAGGCTAGACATGCTTTCATATTCAATTGATTTACCATTTGAAGCTTCCTTTGAAAGTACACATGTCAGTGCATCTTAAAAAATATGTTAGATTGTAATCCAGTGCAGTTCATGATGCCTCTTATTTGTGTCAGTGGCAAGTTGTGTCTCTAAGGAAAATTTTTACCTTTGTTGAGCATTTGAACCACAACTTTATTGTTTGTTTGAATCTTGACTATGTGGTATACTTGTTTTTCTGCCCATTTTATGCCTCTAAGAATTCCCTCTATTTCAGCGGCAATGCTGAGATTTTCTCCAATATGGGTACATGCTGTTTTTATGAAATTTCCATATATTCCTTGAGCCACAAATCCCCAACCAGCTGCTCCTAGAGCTCCTAATGTTGAGCCATGTGTATGTATGAGTATTTTGTCAGGTTCTTCAGGCAGCATCCAACATAGCGATTTCATTTTTTTCTTTTTCCGCTCCCCAACCCTAACTTCAAAGATTTCCTCAAGCTCTTTCGCCTCAGTTGCATTCTTTGCTCTTAGCTCATGAACACTTGGGATCATACAAATGTTAGTACAAATTGCACGAGTCACAAGATCCAAAGAAAATTATGTACCTTCAAAGAAACACTTATTTCGAGATTACCAAATCTCCCAAAGGACAAAAGCTGGACTTATCATAATTATAGCTTTCTTTGATAAATTGAAATCCCAAATCGAATACCAAGCTTGTAAAAAACTCCACAAACCTGCATTGAAACGTAAGAAAATGCCATACAAAGCCAAAAAAATATGACAAGACCTGCCTCGCTTTTGGGCATTCAAAAAATACATGTTGGATGCTTTCTTCTGCTTGAAAGCAAAATGGGCAGCGCAAAGGTTGAGAAGCGAAGCTCACTCGCTGCAAAACTTTAGGAAAAGGCATCAAGTTGTTAAATAGTCTCCATAAAAAGAAAGAAATTTTTAAAGGAATTATTTATTTAAAAAATTCTTCAAAATAGGATTTTCGCTTCTGCTTTCCCGAATTTCAGAATATGCAATGGCTAATGTATATTCTCCAGAGATTGATGGCTTCCATATATGTCGATCTTCTTCAGAAGAAGGTATCCGATTCACGGGCTGTCCTATGGTCCTATCGAATCATTTAGTAATTTATTAATATATAACTAATTAATCTTCTCAAACCTATTCGGTGAACTTGACCAACATATCTGGGTGGTCCTTGAAAAGCGACGCAACCTGTACAATGTAAAATGTAAACTATTTATCAGTTTTCAAAGCATGAACATATTGCCAAACTTAAAATATAAAAAATATTAAAAAAATAAACAAATTTAGTTGAAATAGATACAAACCTCTTGGTAGACCTCATAAATGCTCTTACTTACGTCCTTATACGCATCCAAATGGTCCCAAAAAGAAGTGTAGACATGGTGGTTGATTCTAAAATGCTTCTGCAAAGTTAAAAAGTCTCACACATTCTATTTTCATAATAACTATAACATAAACTTGAAACCCACTCTGAGTTAAACAAAAAAAAACAAAAAACTACGATTTTTAGAATGAAAGAAGAAATACTATGTGCATTAATGTTGAACTAAATATAACCTTTATCTTTTCGACAAAACTTAGAATGAAATGAACGCATCATATTTCTCCTTTTGATCTAGGTAAGTGTCTCTAACTTCCCTCGTATAGTTTATGGCATCTGTTGTGTCATATACGATCGAGGAATTCTACCTGCTGCTTCAAATGAGAATAAGAGGACCAAATTAATAAACAATTTGCTCCAAAACTCATTAGCGAGCCAGAAAATATATATTCTACCCAAGTGGAAAAAGCTATTTTCTTCTTGGTTTTCTGAATTTACCAAAAAAAACACACCGATCTTTGCACCACTCAAGATGTGATTCATAGTTTACGCACAATAACAAAACCAAGCGCATATTCAAATATGAAAACAACAAAATAATCATTCTTGCAAAAGTAAATTAATGGTCTCATTAAGGGTAGATAAGTTTGAAAACCTCAAAATAATTATCACTGTAAAAGTAATTAACTAATAAATTTTGCCATTAAAGATTCGATTCGCAATACATCCACCATAATGAAAACCGCAAAACAATCATTCTATTAAAGAAAAACTTAGATGTGATAATGAAAAGAGAAAGTAAGTAAGAAAACCTAGAAATGATCATTTGTGTTGAAATTAACTAAAGCATCAAATCAAAACTTTAGACAAATAATTGTTTCCTCAATTACCCAAAGAATCAAAGACTACAAATATTTAACCTAATTCAATTGACAACATAAAGTATGACATCAAATAATAAAACTTTAAATAAACCAAACATCAAAATTCAAGTAAATCAACTAGTCACGAAAGTATACACGGTTGCACTAAATTTCGTAGAGCACGCACACCAAAAAAAAGTAGGTACATAATTTACTCATTGATCTCATTATCATCATGATCAAAATTAACACAAAGGTACATATTAAAAAAATTGACCCTAAAGAAAATCACTGAAAAATTCAAATAAAGAGAAAAACAAATAAAAAATAGATGAGGAGTCACGATTCAATAGAAGGTTGTCTTGGTGAATTAAGGTTATCAGCAGGATTCGGGGGGGAATCGATGTTAATCTGGAAGAAGGAAAAAATATAGAGAATATAATTAGTTTTATCTTACAGATCACAAAAATCAGAACAATATAATATCAAAAAAAAAAGAAGATTTTGAGATTTTTTTTTATGCAACCAACATACACAAAAAACTAAAGTGTGATGGTGAAAGCGAGAGACAGGAGCCACAAAAAAAGATGGGAGTTAAAAATATGTGTGAAACAACGAGATAATACAACACACTATTTATATAGTGATGAGGACTAAGACATATTTAGTACGCTACTGTTCTCTTTGGTCAGAAAATAATTTTAAAAAATAATTTTATATTATGTGAATCTATATATACTTTTATTGTGATTTTTGTTCTTTTTTAAAAAAATATTTATGATGATATCCTCACCCCCAAAACAACATCAGATGAAATTGTAATTGCAAAGGCCAAAAGACATTCTAGATTCATGTCTCTCGTATGGTTCTCCTCGTGCTACAAAATAAGTGAATGATAGAAAAACATATTTATATAGTTTTGATAATTAAATATAATTATGTGAGAAACAATTTTTTTTCCCAAATACGAAAACCTAATTGTTGTTTTTTTTTTATAAAAAAAAGTTATGTATTTTAGGGATATACATCTAATGGGAATATTGATTTCATCTAAATAATTATTGTTAGTAATTTTGAAATAATTGTTTTTTAAAAGTTAGTTGTATGTGCCTACAATCATATATAATATTTGATGACTTTTGTATAACAAATGTGTCCTATTAAGGAAAAATATTTTACCTTGAACAACATTACGAATTGTTTACTGTTGACATAAACCTGTACTTTTCATCGCAAAAAAGATATCTTTGTGACTACTTTAAGCGCAGTTAATTACCGTGTTTCCATTGTTTCTTCATGTACTATTGGTCATGTCCTTAATTGTCGATTATCATTAATCTAGTACATTGTTCTTATCAATAATGCAATTTTTCCAGCATGATCTCATTATGTAAGAACTAAGAATTCAAAAATTGAATGAAAACATCCATCAACATTACGACAATCACGTATTCTATGAGAAAATTAAGTTAACCTTATATGACGTTTGTCATCCTGTCACAAATGTAGTAATTAATTCATAATAATTTTCTAAATTGGAGTTATAAAAAGAAACCATTTCTAGCAAATTCAACTGAGACGGGAGAAGAAACGCAATAATCGTGTCCATAATATTCTTGTAAGCAACATAATGTAAACTTCGAATATCATTTTACAAAGTTCAACATCTCAGAAACAAGTTCACAACAAACAGGGACATAAGGATATTGTATCGCGTCCTTATACGACCATGAATAACATTAATCCCATGGAATCATGTAGCAATACAAAAAGTTATAACTAATTAATTTTCTGGAATATATTTGGTGAACTCGACCAGCAGATCTGGGTGGTCCTTGAAAAGTGGTGCAACTTGTGTAATGAAAATGTAATATATTAGTTTTTAAAGCATGAACATACTGTCAAAAATGAAAAATAATAGATATAAAAATTAATAAATAAATTTAGTTAAAACGGATACAAACCTCACGGTAGACTTCATCAACGCTCTTGCCTCCATACTTAAACGCATGCAAATGGTCTAGAAAAGAAGTGTAGACAAGGTGGTTGCTTTCGAAACGCTTCTGCAAAGTAAAAAAGCTCAAAACACTCCATTTTGAAAATGAATTGCAGACTTGAAGAAACTCACTTTGAGTTAAACAAAAATAACTATGGTGTTTGGAATAAAAGAAGTACTACTTTTTCACTAATGTCGGAGTAAATATAACCTTTACTTTCTCGATGAAACCTAGAGCCTCCTCAAAATCCTTCGTTGTCTCATCAGGGGCAACCTCTACTTCATCATCTAGGGTGATTTCAAACTCTCGTGGCAAAAACTTATTGAAACCAAGAAGCAAGTTCGGATGCCCTACAAACAATTCCGTTAATCCCCCAATGATGCCTAGATTGTCAACCCTACAAAATATATCCATGAGTAAGCAAAATTTAAATAATATTGAAACATAAGAATATACATATGAAAAAAACTCGTGGCAATAAAAATTGGGGTGCATACCTTTTATCTTTGTACTCCCTCATAAGGGCAATGAACGTATCATACTTCTCCTTTCGATCTAGGTAAGTCTCCCTAACTTCCCTCATATAGTTTATGGCATCAGTTGTGTCATATACAATCGGGGGATTCATCCTAGTGTTTAAATGAGAATGACGGAACCAAATGAATACATAATTTTCTCCAAAACCCATTAGCAACCAGGGCCACTATATTGTACTCAAGTGGAAAAAACAATTCGCTTCTTGGTTTTCTAAGTTTACCAAAAAAATAAAACACCTTTCCTAATACTCCCTGAAAAGATCTTCTGTACCACTCAAGATTTGATTCATAGATTAACCACAATAGCGAAACCAAGTTTGCATAAATTAGAAAAGGGGAAAATATGTATATGAAAACAACGAAATAATCATTCTTGCGGAAGTGACCAATTAATGGTGTCCCTAAAGATTAGATCCGCAATACATCCATCATAGAGATTCTATAAAAAGAATTTTTTTAAAAAAAAAACAAAATATGCATAATAAAAAGGGTGAATAAGTTTGAAGACTTCAAAATAATCATCTCTGCAAAGGTATTTAACCAATATATGGTGTCATTTAAGATTCGATTCGCAATACATCCACCATAAGTAATAGCACAAAACAATCATTCTATTAAACATAAACTTAGGGGTGACTGGTTCAACCCTACTATGATAGTAGGAAATAGCTTTCATAGAATGTAATGGGATTCATAGAATAAAGATGGCTAAGGGTTTGAAAACTTTTATTTTTACTGCTTGTTTACTGTGTATGATAGAATTGGAATGGAGCCAAAATTTCATTTTTATCCTTAACAAACTCTCCATGTTCAATGATATCTTCTCCGTTGCCTCACCAGACCAGCCACATCCACCTTTTCTTTCTTCACCAAAATCACCATTCTATCAACCTTTCTTCATTTTTGTCAACCCCAGAACACATCATATTTGATTCAAATATAAACTCCCCAATAAGCAACAAATTAATCTAATTATTGAATAACTTAACAATCAAACAAAACTCAAATCATAAGCTCAAATCACAAGTAGTCGAATTTCAATTGCAAAGTTGAGGGAGCAGGTGGCCACTAAGGTATTAGCAGCCCAAGGAGTGGGCCAAAAATGGAAGTATGGTTTTACGGTAGGAACAACAAATCGCCGGTGCCCAACTCCCGGTTGAGTCTTTGGTTTCTTAATTTCACAAAACCTGAATTTGGTTTTGTTAAATATGTTAAGATTGGAGATGAGAAGTTGCAGGGGACGGGGTTGTGGGGAGAGCAAGATGGAGAAGAGATTTGAGATGTGAGGATAGGAGAGCAAGGGTTGTGGGAACAGAAAAAGTGAGAAATGGTCGGTGATGTGAGGATGAAGAAGGTCAGTAAGGAGAATTCTAGTTGGAGCGACTCAAACCCTCTAAAATAGTGGGGAATGGGTTTCTGGAATCAAAGTAAATTTGGTGGGACCTTTCCATTCCAAATTTCTGAACCAAGCAGCAAAAATAATAAAATTGGGAATGAATCTCATGTTTTGGGTATGAAACCCCCCAACCTGACACACCCTTAGATATGGTAAGAAAACCCAAAAATGATAAATCTTGTTGCAAGTAACTTGTGTGTAAAATCAAAACTTTAGTCAAATTCTCATTTCCTCAATTACCAACAGAACAAAATACCACAAAAATTTAACCTAACTCAATTAGACAATGTAAAGCAGGACATCAAATCAGAAAAGTATGAATGAGCCAAACACCAATCAAATGACACTAAATTTAAGTAAATCAACTGGTCACGAAGCCATACACGGTTCTTCAAAATTTCAAAGACCAGGCACACAAAAAAAAAGGTAAAAGAATTCACTCATTGATCTCATCATCGTTCGGATCAAATTAAAACAAAGATACATATAAAAGAAATTGACCCTAACAAAATCAACAAAAAAATTCAAATCAGAAAAAAAAAAAATGAAAATGAGACAAGGACTCACGATTCAGCCGAAGGTTGTCTTGATGATTTATTGGTATCAACATCATTCATGGGGCAATCCATGTTGATCTGGAAGAGGGGAAAGAATCAATAATTTAATTAAGTTTCTCTTAAAGAAGATTGCAAAAACCAGAATGATATAATATCAAAAAGAAAAATTAGATCTTGAGGTGAGGTTTTTTGAGCAACAGACATACGCAAAAAAAAAAAAAAAAACTAAAACGCGGTGATGAAAATGAGAGGCACGAGCCAACAAAAGGTTGTTACTTGTGAGTGAAAAATATGTTTGTGTAACCACGAGATAAATAGAGCACACTATTTATATAGTGATAAGGAGGAAGATAGATTTAGTATGTTAATGTTTTTTTTGGGGAGAAAATAATTAAAAAATCAATCCTATATTGTGTAAATCTATGCATACTTTTATTACGATTTTTTTTCTTTTTTTTGAAACATTTATGATGATATCTTTTCACCCCCCCTAATGACATGAGATTAAATTGTAATTATAAAGGAAGGCACATCTTTTAGTTCCCTTGTAAACCTAAGCAATCAAAGTATTTCTATTTTCAAATCGAGTCATTAAAATTTGGGCTAATACAAAAACATTAACTAATGAAGTTATTTTTATTGGACAATATACAATAATTTGTGATCTTTCTGTTTGTCACTAGGATTTATATATTATTGAAACTTTAAGTGTTATTCTATTAGCACCGACATTATTTCAGTGAATAATGCTTGATTTGTCAGGAATTATTGGCCATCTAAACTTTCGGATATATTTAAAGGTTAATCAAAGAATTTTGACGTTCTATCTAGAGAGACATTTCTCTTCACATGAAAAAATAAACGGTTAGTATCAAAAACACCCCGAGGTTTATTCAATTATCAAATACCCCTTCACTGTTTGAAAATATATCAATAACCTCCGTTGACCGGCAAGTCAAATATCAAATCCATCCCTTGATACCTGAATGATGACCTAGCCTATGATGTTTGCAAAACAGAGGACCAAGAAAGACGCATTTGCAATATACTTAGACTTTGTTGACTTTGCTCTGAACACTGCAGGCGATTACACCATAACTGTGTGTAATGGGCTCTTGATTTCTGCCGCAAATCTGGGATTACCATGAGAATCTGCTTGGACAAAGTATCAACAGATTAGCTACAAACAGTGAAGTTCTTCAATCAGGAATGAAACTGAATCTACATTAGCAGACTTTTCTGATCAAGGACTTCACCACAGCAGAAGTCAAGGAGGCTATGTTTAGCATTGATAGTAATAAGGGTCTTGGTCCTGATGACTTTAATAGTGGTTTTTATAAACAAGCATGGAGTATACATGGGAAAGAAGTGTGTGAAGCTGTTCTGGAGTTCTTTGAATCAGGGAAATTATTGAAGCAAGTTAACACTACAATGATCTCCTTGATACCTAAAAATGAAGCTCCAAAGATGCCACTGAGTTTAGGCCTATTGCATGCAGCAACACTCTTTACAAATGCATTTTTAAAATGTTGTGTAAAAGATTATGTCAAGTACTACCTGAACTAATTGACTTGAACCAAGGTGCGTTTGTTAAGGACAGAATGATTTTGCACAATTTCCTGTTAACACATAACTTGATTAGAAAAATAAAAGGAAAGAGAGTCATCACAGTACATCTCATCCGGCATGTGATTTTGTCTAATGTTTTATATATTTCTAGTTTATTGTGTAGTTTAATTTCCTTGCTCAATAGTTGAGATATGATACTTATTTTACTCATCAGCCTTGTGTTGTACATGACTTATATCGAGGATTACCGTTGGATCAGTGAACAACCTGGGGGCTTTATTTCTTTTGGTGAGGCAGTGGCAGTACCAATGCAAGTTGAAGGGTCGTTGGACCTGTGGCACAAACAATTTCGTCAATCGTCTTTTAAGGTGGTTGAGAAATTGTGTCGTGTTAATCCTAGCGATTCCGGTGGAATTTCCAATAAAGTATTTGATATTTGTTTGTATTCGAAGCTTGCGGGAGATAGTGTTTTGTCAAGTGAAAACAAAACTGTTGAACCTTTTCAGTTGATTCATTTTGATTTGTGGAGTCCTTATAGTGTTCTTACTTCTTGTGGAATGCAATATTTCTTTACTATTGTGGATGACTTTTCTATAGCAACATGGATTCATTTACTTCCTGGTAAGATTGCTATTTCTGTCACTTTGTGTAATTTTTTTATGTGGGTGAAATGCCAATTTGATAAGTTAGTCAAGGTTGTTTGATGTGATAATGGTTCTGAGTTCCTTTGTTTAGGTGGTTATTTTTGTGAGCATGGTAATCTTCATGAACCTCATGTATTGGTACTCCATAGTAAAATTGGAGTGTTGAACATAAACATCAACATATTATTAATGTTGTTCGTGCTTTACATTTTCTAGCCAACTTGCCTATTGAATTTTAGGGTCATTGTGTTTTGATTGCTAGTTATTTCATTAATCGTACTCCTACTGCGATTTGGCATGGTCGAACGCCATATGATGTGTTATTTGGAAAAGTTCCAAACTTTGCTTATTTGAGGGTTTTTGGTTAATTATGTTATATTCATAATTTAAATTGTCGAGGAGACAAGTTCGTTCCTTGTAGTAGAAGATGTTTTTTTTCTGGTATATACATTTGGTAAAAAGGATGGTCTGTCTATGATCTTGGTTCTAAAACTTTTCTTGTATATTGTGATGTCAAATTTTGTGAGTATGAGTTTCCTTTATATCTTGCTGAGTTTAAGTGAGTCGAAAAATATTTCTAAAAATCACTTAGGGAGTTGACTTGTAATTGAGGTGGACGATGATGATGAGATTGTTAATTCAGTATCTCCAGGTGAACTTCACTCGGATCAAGTTTCTCCCGATCAAGATCCATCTTTTGATCGGTACTGACGTCAGGGAGGACTATCCTACACCAGCTCCTGTAGCTTCTGAGAATTGTTGGGCCGTGGTCATCGTTCTAAGGTTCCTTCCACTCGCCTGCATAGCTTATTCATCACACAAATTTGCCCCCTGCTAGTTCATCATCGTCCTCATGTATGCTCTATCCTATAGCTCATTATGTTAATTGTAATTCTTTCTCGCCAGCACATCAAAATGTTTTGGCAGACACATAATGAGCCTAATATTTTTGCTGAAACTATAGCGAATGAGCATTTGTGTGTTGATATGCAACTTGAGATCCAGAATCTTGAGAAAAACAACACTTGGAGTGTTATGCAACTTCCTCCTTGAAAGAAGGCTATTTGTTGTAAGTAGATATAAAAAATCAAAACTCTCTTAGTTATTCTTGACAATAACCAAGTTGAGAGTATTGATTGCAAAGAGATGTTTGCACCTATAGCGAAGTTGGTTAGTGTTTGTACTTTTCTAGATGTAGCTGCTGCAAAAATTTGGAGTTTCATCCTATGAATACGCATAGTGCTTTTTTTCATGGTGATCTGATGAGGAAGTTCTCATGAAATTACCCCTCGGTTTTTGCTCCAGCTTTCCTGGTCAGGTATGCCGCCTGAAAAGCTCACTTTATGGAATAAAGCAAGTTCTTCATTGTTGGTTTGTCATGTTAGCTGTCTAGCTAAATGTGTTGATATATCTTGATGATCTTGTAATTTCTAGGAATGATTCATTCCATGTGTCTGCTTTTAAGAATTATTTGAGTACCAGTTTTTACATGAAAGATATCAGTGCACTTAAATATTTTCTTCGCATTGAACTTACTCGTAATACTCTGGAATTTTTCTCTTTCGACGAAAATATGTTTTAAACATTATATATGAAGTTGGTTTGTTTGGAACCAGCTGGCTCTCCACTGGAAGAATCGGTTTCCCCTTGCCGTTGGCGATCCGCTTTCTGATTCTGAGCGGTATCATTGCTTAGTTGGTTGTTTAATCTATCTGGTAGTTGCCACCCCGAGCTCTCTTATTCTTTTCATATGCTTGTTCAGTTTATGCAGAAACCCGTGCAAGCACATTGGGATGATACACTTCATGTAGTTCGATAATTGAAAGGAAATTTAGATCCGGGTATTATATTGCGGGTTGACTCTGACTTGGGACTCTATGGTTGATGTAATGTTGATTGGGCTGGCTATCCATTAACGCGTCATTCTCCTTATGTTTTGTTTATTTAGTTGTGTAATTATTCTGATTCTTGGAAGACCAAGAAATAGCATACAATTGCTCGTTCTTCTACTGAAATTGAATGTCGCTCTATGATTTCTATTACTTGTGAGTTAATCTGGTTAAATCTTTGCTATTATATCTGGGTGTTTCTCATTCTCAGCCTATTCAGTTTTACTGTGACAGGTAAGCAATTCTTCACATTTCCGCTAATCCCATATTTTTCATGAGTGAACTAAGCATATTAAACTTGATTGTCATTGACGAATTTTTTAAAGACACTGTTTCTTACATTTTTGTGTCTACTCGTGTGCAGCTAGATGACATTCTTATTAAAACCTTGGGAAAACTTGCATTTGATTTCTTCCTTAGCAAGTTGGGTATTCGAAATTCGCATGCTCCATCGTAAGGGGGTATTAGAGCATGTAATTAGTAACAACACTATTACTAATTAGTCGTGGTAAATATAGTCCAATAATGTTTGCAGTTTCCTTATATATTCTGATTACTTCTAATTGATACGTATAATGAAAATCAACCCAATTAGTATTTTCTAAATTTTTGTGATCCATTACGTGATTTCTCACCTGAGGAACTCCGCCGGTAATTAGCCGCTGTCACCAGGATCTAAACTTTTCGCCCATATATCTTGTACATGTAGAATATTTTAATGTACTAATTGTCTCAAGTTTTTTTTTTTATTATTATTCAATACATTGTTTATAAGAGTTTGGGTTTCAATTAGCAAAGCAATACAAATGTATACAGTTGCCGACCTGTTTTCATCATTGTTTTAGTCATTTTGGTGGCATCTTTTAGATTAAGATAATGAATGCTTTTGAACATCGAGGTTGAATGTATCTTTTTTTTTACAAAAAAATTGATTCATTTTTTTTAAACCTTACGTATGGAAAACATTTCTATTTCAAATAACTAGATCCCCTACTCATTTAAGAAGTCAAGAATATAGAAGTGTTAAGTAATAACTTTAGTGTTTCCCATTCTTACTAATTCATTCGCTACTGAATTGAGCTCGCAAAAGATATATTGCACCGATGCCTTCATAGTCACCAAAATTTGAATGATTGAGAATCAGTTATTTTCATGTCTTTAAGATCAGTTATTATGATTTTTCAAGGTTTGCAGTAATACTTTGGAGTCGAATTCTACTTCAACCTGTCGTATATCAAGTTCTTATAATTGAGAAAAACCCCGCAAAAACGCAGCAAGCTCAGCTTGGAAGTTAGTAGCATGGTCAATGAATTTGGATTCAGCAAAGATTACTTGGCCATTTGAGAAACGATGTATTGCTTTTAGGAGATGAATGAAACCAAGTTTCTGATTCATTCAGTCTAGGGCAAATATGCAATTTTAGTCTATTATTATTTATGCAATAATATCAACATTTGGTTTTCCATTTTTTTCTTTTACATAACAACAACTGGATTTGATTAAACACATCAAGACATACAGATGTTTCCTCCATTACTGGAATGGGCTGAATTTGATAATGCATTAATTAATTCAATAAAAAAATTTCTCCTTGACCCTACGATATTGAAGAAGATATTAAAATCTTAATAAACTTGTCATGTTTTGGCAAAAATCTAACGAACTCGTTCAACAAACCCTGGGCGGTACCTTCAAGAGTGCTGCGGCCATTTTATAAGCCACAAATTAAAAAGACAAAAATTTAGAAGAAATAGATAAACCCCCTTTGCTGGCTTCATGAATTTCCTTAAAAAGACATGCTCAAAATGTTGATGCAATGCAACTTCTTGGGGTATTCAAAATGTCTAGAAAAACATATGGTAGACATGATTCACACTTTCAGGAAAAAGGCCCAAGCATGCATAATAATGATCAGTTACAACTTTCTTTTAGATGGATATCATTATATTTTAAATTGGGGTTATGAAATAGTGTGAAAGTGTAACAGTTATCTTGATAACCGAGAAAGAAGTCTCCCCTAATTTAACTTTTCTCTTGGGTGGGACGTTTTATTCATCATTGGGGGCGATTAAATTTCATACCTCTTTTGTCGCTGGTGTTATGTGTATTGCAACTTTAAGTGATATTCTAAGTACTCTTTACTTCTGCTTATAGTGCTAAACATCTATATATAATCTAAGGTTGGTCTAAAAGTTTTTACCATATATCTATCCAAGTGTAATTAAGTCACTTCAAATGAAGGAATTGATGAAGTATGGACCCTGAATTTATGTGTTTTCTGCCTGAGAAACTTCGCAGGTAAGCCGGACTCACCAGATTCACCTGAACATTTTTTAGTAATATCAATGAAATGAAATCTATATACATCACCTAATAGATTCTTTGTGGGATCTATATGTTTTCCCCGTCATCATTTTTTTTTCTTTTTTAGAATCTTTTTGTTTTGTTAAGAATTTATAAAATCTAATTGTCATGTAAATCATTTTTTCCTGTAAAATTTTATAGGAAAGCTTACCTGGTCGCTAATTGATTCCCTGCTGTAATGCAACTTATATTTTTCATCTCTTCGGGAATATATATATATATATATATATAATATAAACGTAAACATAACAAAATGGCGATGATTAATAAGAGCAAGACATATATATGGTTTCTCCAAGAACTTCAAATCAGAATCCTTAACTACATCAAATCCACGAAATATTAATACATCAAATTCCAGGGAGCACTAATACAACATCAAATCCAAGTAACATTAATACAAAAGAGAAGTCTTTTTTCCAAGAAAAAGAAAAAAAAAACCAACAACAGAATCTCCCTTCATACAGAACTTGTTTCATTGTTTTATGCTCAGAGCTTAGAGATCAGGTCGTACAACATGGCGAACGTGAAACCTTGGGGCAAAAACCTTGTGAACTGATGCAACAAGTCTGGATGATATTTCAGAAGTGCAGCAATCTGCGTATACGTACAAGCAAAATTAAAATGATTGAATCAATCTTGAGCATCATATCAATTACCAAAAATGTTTAAAAAAAATGAAATTTTCAATGGAAATAGATACAAACCTCTGGATAAAGTTCGTGCATGTCCTTGAGTCCCTGCCTGTGCAAATGCAGAAGGTCCAAAAAAATAAAGTACACATGACCTTTCCCGTTGAAACGTTTCTGAAGTTAAAAAAAAAAAAAATTGTTTCATAGATTCTAGTTCAGAACCAGTTACATAGAACCTTTAATTAAACTAAAAGAGTAACGATACACATCTAACCATACATGTTATATATTCATTCATTCTACCGTTTATATGAATTAATCAATCACATTGATACCTAGTGGGTGAGTAAATGGAATGTAAGGTGTTATCATTGCTCGAAACTTATAAGAGCGCAAGAATGTGAATGTGAATGTAAATATGTATATTTACCTTGACCTTATGAACAAAAGCTAGGGCATCCTCGAAATCAAGTTTTTCCTTGCGAGGGACACGTGCACCACCTTTCAGGGTAATCTCGTACCCCCTAGGCAAGAACGCGTTGAAGCCATGGATTAAGGCAGGATGATGTTTGAATACAGCCTTAACTTTGGTAATGACAGCCTTGCTGTCAATTCTGCAATAATGGCCATGAGTTTTATTATCAACTCAAAATGAAGCATGAGACATATATTAAAGGAATAAAAGCTTCAGTTTTGGGAACCTTGAGGGTTAATTATATACCTTTGGTTCTGAAAATCCTTCATAATGCCTATGAACATCTGATACTTCTCTTTCTTGTCCTTGAACGCGGTTTGAACTTTCGTCAGGTAGCGAAGTGCATCATCAGCAGTCAGCCCGGCTGGTTTTCGGCCTTTGCCTCCACCACCTTTCCCTGCAGCTCCACGGGGAGCTGGTGGCCCGGAGCTTCAAATGAAAATATAACACAAATGAGGGAATGATCTACACATTCTAAGGAAAGTTTTTTTTGCTCCAAACTCATCATCAAACTCACAAAAAGAATACTATGTGCACAACAGCTGCAAAAGCTACTAGTTGCTTAATTTCATATAAGCTTTCGAGACAATAGAAGACAACACCATCCCCAAACAATGTAGCCACAAAAGATCCAATCAAACAATGCATCCACCCAAAAGATTTTTTTACTATGACAAGATATTATAAACTGTTGATGTTTTTGTCCCTGAGGCAAAGAATGCAAGTATTTAAAGCTTTTTGGGCTTGAAGACCTTTTTCATTTTATGTACTCATATTAAAATTGATGCTACAAAACACAATCCAATGCACACACACAGAAGAAAAAAAATCAAAATCAAAAATCAAAAAATAAAAATAAAAAAAATCAAAAATCAAAAAACCAAAAATCCAGAAAAAAATAATAAATAAAATAAAAATTAAAAACAAACCAAAAATAAGCCACAAAAGTTGACAAAACAAACCAAATTAATTAAATCGAAGAGTGAGGCATTCCACAAACTTAATTAACTCGATCTGAAAATGAATCAAGCAAACACCAAATGACACTCAAATTCAAGTGAATTGACTGATCACGAATCATACGGTCACTCTAATTGATTTCAAAGATCGATCACAAAACAAATCATAGGGTTCATCATGAAGTAATCACAAGATGGAACTTAAAACATACGATAAAATCAAGTTAAACAAAAGCCACATAATTATACAATGAAAATCCAGTTGATCCAACAAAGATCGGCTCATATATACATCACAAAAATACACCACCGCCAAGTTCAAAGCAAGAAAAATAAAACCAATGTTTCGATGGAAAAAGGGAGAAAAAAGAGCTTACAATACAGGGACAGCGCCGAACGGCCAGGACGGGCTCTGAATCTTAGCCGTGATACGATCCATAACTGCAAAGATAAACACCGATCATAAGCTCAACCAAAAAGATTACTAAAATCTGAATGATATACATAAGAAAAAACCAATGTTTCAATGAAACCAACGTACAAACCACCTGAGAAAACTCTGCTGAATGCGGTGCAAAAAAAGTGAACTGGTGATGAAAAATGAGTGAGGAGCCGACAATGTGAGGTGATGGGCAAATATATAACCTCGAGAAATAAACAAAGCACTACATTTATTCTACAAAAGAGCCGTGATAGAAAACTACATTGACAGATAAGTATATGTTAAAAGACGAAATCAATTACTAACTATAAACAAGAGGATACCCTCCAAATAATCAAACGATATACATTTATGTCTTTGTACATATGATATATCAGTTACTATTTTATTTTTTCACTCCATATTTCCACTAAAAGATTACATATTACACAAAAAATGCGTGATAGAAAATTATACTGACAGATGTCCAAAAGATTATATATTACATGAAAAAGACGTGATTGGAAATTTATACCAACAGATGTAAGTCTGACATATATATATATGTGAAAAGACAAAATTATTAACCATAGACAAGAGAATACCCTTCTAATAATCGAACTTAAGAGATAAAGTTCTGTTTTTGTACATATGACATATCAGTTACTATTTTATTTTCACCTTATATTTCTATCAAAAGATTACATATTACACGAAAAAGACGTGATAGAAAATTATACTAACAGATGTAAATTTGACAGATAAGTATATGTCAAAAGACGAAATCAATTACTAACTATAAACAAGAGGATACCCTCCAAATAATCAAATGATATACATTTATGTCTTTGTACATACGATATATATATGTTACTATTTTAGTTTTTCACTCTATATTTCTACTAAAAGATTACATATTACACAGAAAATACGTGATAGAAAATGATACTGACAGATGTCCAAAAGATTACATATTACACGAAAAAGACGTGGAAATTTATACCGACAGATGTAAGTGTGATAGATAGATATATGTGAAAAGACAAAATTACTAACCATAGACAAGAGAATACCCCTCTAATAATCGAACTTTAGAGATACAGTTCTGTCTTTGTACCTATGACATATTAGTTACTATTTTATTTTCACCCTATATTTCTATCAAAAGATTATATATTACACGAAAAAGATGTGATAGAAAATTATACTGACAGATGTAAATTTGACAGATAAGTATATGTGAAAAGACAAAATTACTAACGATAGACAAGAGAATGCACTTCTAGTAATCGAACTTAAGATATACAGTTTTCTTTGTTCACATGATATATCAGTTACTATTTTATTTTTCACCTTATATTTCTATCAAAAGATTACATCTTACACGAAAAAGACATGATAGAAAATTATACTGACAGATATAAATTTGGCAGATAAGTATATGTAAAAAGACAATTACTAACAATAGACAAGAGAATACTCGAACTTTAGAGATGCAATTCTATCTTTGTACATATAATGTATCAGTTACTATTTTATTTCCGCTTTATATTTCTATCAAAATGTTACATATCACACGCAAAAGACGTGATTGAAAATTATACTGATAGATGTAAGTATGACACATAGGTAGATGTGAAAAGACAAAATTACTAACGATAGATAAGAGAATACCTTTCTAGTAATCGAACTTAAGATCTACGGTTCTGCTTTGTACCTATGATATATTAGTTACTATTTCATTTTCACCCTATATTTCTATCAAAAGATTACATATTACATGAAAAAGATGTGATAGAAAATTATACTGACATATGTACGGGTGACACATAAGTACATGTGAAAAGACAAATTTACTAATGATAGACCAGAGAATATCCTTCTAAATTTAAGAGATACAATTATGTGTTTGTACAATTGGTACCAGTTACTATTTTATTTTTATCCTATATTCAAATCAAATTTTTTTTTATCTACCTAGTGAGTGTGATGAATAAGTGAATTTAAAAAGATTAATTAGTAATGATAGACAAGAGGATACCTACCTAATAATTAGAGGTCTGTGACAGATAAGGGAATGTGGGAAAAAAAAAACTAAATTACTCTCCTAATAATAAACGAGAGAATACCCTCTTAATACTCCAGTGAGTGTGATGAGTAAGTGAATATTAAAAGATGAATTAGTGATGATAGACAAGAGGATACCTACCTAATAATAAGAGAACTGTGATAAATTAGTGAATGTGAAAGAAACCTCCTAATACTCCAGTGAACGTGAAAAGACGAAATTATTATTGATAGACAAGAAGAAATCCTCCAAATAATCTAATTTAAGAGGTACAATTCTGTCTTTGAATGCCCTGGTGACTATGCTATATAAGTGTATGTGAAAAGACGAAATTGTTCAGAAGACAAGTGGATACCCTCTTAATTATCAAACTTAAGAGGTACAATTTTGTCTTTCTACATATGATATATCACTTACTCTTTTATTACTGTTCTGGTGATTATTGAAGAAACTTTGTCTAAAAACTGAAGATCTATCTAGGTAGCTAGAGAAGTTGACCGAGTGATTTGTTAGTAAATTTGGAAATCTAAATAAGGTAATGAATAATTGTGAACTTTAATTAATTAAAATCCTTATCAGATATCACCACTATATGTAATAACTAAATCCCTACTTGAAAGCTTATCGTGCGGATTTCTGTTGCAAATGCTTTTGACTTGATTTTTCTTATTCAGTTTTACGTTTTGTTATTCTCTTTTAATATAAATATATATGTGTTCTTTAGTGTTCCATCCTCTTTGTCCCAGAAACCTCCACCTCTGTGGCTTAATAAACTAACGCCATCTTTTTTGAAATCATTTCTTCTACTTTCATATGCCTAATAAAAGAAATAAATTCAACAAACGATCTTTTCCAGCTAAAAAAAAAATTAGAACTTCCATATTCAATATATATTTGCTGGCTAGGATTATTTTTTCCTTTCTTTTTTTTTTTGGTTGACAAAAGCAGGTTATTGCAGTTGCATTAATTAATCATTAAAAACTTTCGATAAAAAATGAGAAGTAAACGAATATAAGGCAAAGTACTCGGTATCCTTGCAATTACATTTTCGTTTTTGTACTGTCTATAAAAGAAACTCAAACAAACACCAAACACCAACTCCCTTCATATGCGCGCTTTGAGAAAGCACATTTAGTTGAACAATTCACCTAATTTGATATTGTCGATAATAATGTAGTACAATATTGTTAGAGAGTACTTATATTTGAAAAGCAAATTATGCTATTGATATAACAAAACTACTCTCGATTTATTCATCTGCCATATTTCCATTTTCAATCAATTTATTTAAATGATTAACAAATTAATTACTTTCAATATTTTTTTGGGAGTAGGGGAGATCCAAGATTTTAACCATTCTCTAACATTGCACTTATTTTTTAAAAGACAGGATAACCCTAATCAATGGGATACAATATTAATAATCTATGTGAGAATTAAATTTAGAACATTAAACAACTTGATGTAACGTGTCATCATTCTTAAAAATGTATAAGAAGAAACAACTATTATAATTATTTAGTTCTGACCTCAATTTTAGTGTAAACCTGAGTTGCGATCAAATACTTAAAGAGATTACTAACCTTATATGAAATCGAGGAATGTATTCACTTGAAAGTTATTTCTAAAAAGAATACATCAAAGCATGCTTTTATAG